TATCCCAATGGATACGCGTGGCAAATACGCCCCAAAGAAGCTCCTGTACTTTGGGCGTTTTGTAGCGCGTTCATACGGCCTGTAATACGCCCAGGTGTGAACCATACCCATAGGAAATAATGGGATTTCGGTGTTTGAGCGTAGGAACGCGCTTCAAAATGCCCAGGTGTGAACCGGGCCTAAGGCTAACAAGCCTCAATATAACATAAATATAGCAGTACAGCGCTCAAAACCTTCCTGTAAAGTGCACACTAAAAGTGCATAAAGTGCCTCAATAAATATATATAAATGTGTAAACAGTGAAAACATATATGCAATATTGAAGAATATGGGACTGAAAAAATGTATCACACCATAAAATTGATAAAAAACATATGATCAGTCCAATAGAACGGTCCAATTCTCAGCAGTGAAAGTTTAGAAAACTTTTAAATGAAAGAAAGAAATAACTCCATTCGAAAACCAATCCAGTGCAAATCAATGTGCCGATACTTAGTGCTTCTTCACTTGTTCAAAACAAAGGACCCCCCAATGGGTATGCACTCACCACAGACGCTGACTGTATAAAAACAGCCAAAACACGTTTAGTAGGTCAAAGTAACTCCAAACGTCCTCCTTCCTCCTACTCCGATTTTTTTAAACGTGTTCGTCCCCGATATTCAGCAATAATAAAGCAAAGTGAAATCCTCACAGTGTAGTATTTGACATTTATGAATCCAGAAAAAACAATAAAAAACTCACATTTAAAACCGTGTCAGTCGGCCGGCGATCGCATATAACTCCGTCTCCTCAAAACGAAAGTGTGACTTCAGAAAGACCCCCCACTGACACGTTTCGTCATTACGACGTTGTCGAAGGACGGCATTTTTTTCAATATTGTATATATGTTTTCACTGTTATATATATATATATACACATATATACATACATATATACAGTATATATTCACACAATGAGAATGTGAAAGCAGAAGCCCATGTGCCAAAAACAACCGCTCTGATTTTTAATGTGCTGGACTAGAAGCCATTAAAGTATATCTAAACCCAAGAAAAAAAATGTAATATACTGCGGCTTACCGGCCTTTAGATGTGCTGGGTGCATTTGTTTTCTTTTTTTCAGTCTAAGAACATTTCCTGCGAGCACAGACATATACCTACTGATCCAGAAATCCAATCTCTTTGTAACTGCCTGCGCGCTGCACTGCGCCAAACAATCTAATCAGCCTTCCCAGCTATCTTCTGTGAACTAGCGGACACCTACTCAATATGTAATGGATGTTAGGAGAGGGGGTGGTGTCTGCAGTCCAAATCAGGAGAGCATCCTAGGGTGACAAAACTGCTCCTCCATAGATATTGCACAGCACGTGTGTGTTGTCACTCTGGGACAGGAAGTGTGTTACTGGAAGGATCGCCAGATGAAAAAAAGCTTACGGGCGGGGCTTACCATTTTCTGGACCAGATCTGGAACGCAGTGCATTGCGTTTTTTGACACGTTTGGAATTTATTTTTTGCTTTGCTTAAAATGGTCTTACAGGTGCGTTCCAGTGCATTTGTATGTGTTTTTGATGCAATTTGTATGCGTTCCAGACCAGACAAAATAGGACAAGCAGTATTTTTCTGGTCTGGTCTGGAAAGGACTGCGCTGGTGTGAACAGAGGCCAGAAATAACATAGGGATACATTAGGATGCATTTTGGGTCCGGAAACAAACTGGTCTGGAGATGATCTGGACATAGTGTGAATGGGCCCTAAAAAAACGAATGCAGCCATGACATTTAGGGACTGATAACCTGCAATATAAAAAATGAAATCTAAAGTCCCAGCACATGCTATCCTGTTATAACATCAACATTGTAATAGGAATACATACTGGAGGTGTTTTTGATAATGAAGGGTAGGTGTCTGTAGTCCAAATCCAGAGAGCATCCTAAGGTGACAATGCTGCTCCTCCATAGATACAATACAAGTGAGTGTTGCCACCCTAGGAAGTATGTTTCTGGCAGAGTCACCAGGTAAAATGAAGGTGAGCTTTTTGTTATTAGGTAATGAATGAATGCATTTTAACATTTAAAGGAGAACTATGAGGTGAGCGAAAATCACTCATCCTCATAGTTGGAGCCGACGTGTGCCAATGAAACTGTCACACATCGTCTCAATAGATCGGGAAGTGAGCAAACACATACCGTCGTTCGCTCACTTCCCGATCATCTCCCTGCAGAGAGCCGTGACTGTCAGTCACCGATCCCTGCAGGGATCCCCCCCCCTCCCCGTTCCGATCCTCCAGCGCTGACTGGAGGAACGAATGAGGGAGGGGGCGGGCACAGCTGGCTCTACCTCTAGATAGGCAGAGCCAGCTGTCACTCACGCAGCTGGGTGGATCTCCACAGCTTTGTCGGGATCCATCCCGGCTGCAGCGATTTCAGTATACCGTGAGCTGTAGCTCGCGATATACTGAGCTTTGGGTCACGGGAGGACACTAGTATATGTCCTCCCGTGACCCTTAAGAGAACTATGGAGAAAAACACTTAATCTATAGTTCTCTTTTAACTCCAGAGTTTAGTGTCACTTTTAAAGGAAAATAAAAATAAAAAAGCAACCCATTGCAGCCACCACACGAGGACTGGTAAGCTTGTATGAAATGTTTGTTTTGGTGTTTGAATATACTTTAAGCGGCTTTGCACTCTCACATTACACAGATTTCTAGATGTTTCCACGTGTTCATCCAGTGGAGGCGTTCTGTCCACAGGGACGTCTGTAGTCCAGACACTGTGAGCAGCAGCAGCAGACCGGGCATTATCACTGCTGATGGTGCTGAAACCATGAAAGTGACAGTTGTCAGCACCACACCCAGCTCAGGTTATCAGCCAGAGTCAGACATGGGACACGGAGCCTCTCCCAGCGCTGATCCATCCCTGGGAACGATGATAAACACAGTGAGAATATTACTGGACTCTCTGCACATGACATACAGACATTTTTACCATACCCATGTGCGATCTCCAGCGCTGTGATGTACGGAGGGCTCACACTCATGTGGGCCATGCACGCTGATATCTTTTATTCTTATACAACCCTGGCCCAGCATACACTATATTGTTATAACCAATAGGAATACAGACCAGAGTTGGTTTTGCTTATGCAATCAAAGCTTACTTGAATGTAGTGAGTACTGCCTTCCATCCAGTGGCGTCACTAGAGGGGTGCAGGGGGTGCGGTCTGCACCTGGGTGACACCATTGGAGGGGTGACACCAAAATGACTGACTAAAAAGTCAGGCACTTGGTCATGGAATGAGAGCCCGACAGTGTCAGGAGAGAGGAGGGGACCTGGGGGCATACCTCATCCTGCTGGGTGAACGTCCGCTCCTCTCTCTGCCGGCGTCCACGACCACGCTGGCAGGCGTCAATTAGATGCACGATGACATCACCGCGGGGTGCCACCCAGTCTCCGCTCCGGGGTGACACCCGGCCTAGGGACGCCCCTGCTTTCATCTGCCCATCACTTCCAACAACTTCCTGGATTCCCAGTGTGCTTTGCGTCTTTTTCCCTGCTGCGAGGGAGCATGGAGCCGGATTCCCTTAATGAGACTTCTGGTATCGGTACTCGGTATCGATACCGAAAAACCGAATATCATTAGGTATGGTGATTAGGAGTGGGATATGACTTATTGAAATTCAATATAGAAATACTCAGGGCCATCCGTATAAGGCAGCCTGAGGCGGTTGCCTCAGGCCGCATCTCATTGGGTCACTAGTTCTGCTGACCACCAGGTATTACCCTCTTTTTGAAGGGATTTGTTATCACTTCCTGTTGTGGCTAACGGACAGGAAGTGAAGACAAATCTCTCCTTGGGGGACACAGATGGCAAAACAAAAGCTGACAAGGGTTATAATCCTCCATTACTACATCCAAAACTAAAAGTTCTACTTTATACTGGGTGAGTGGTTATGTCCAGTCAAATGTCATATCCCTAAATGTTTTGGACAGGCAAAGGTTAGACAATCTGGGGTGGGCAACTCTGGCCCTCCAGCTGTGCTTTAATACAAATCCCATCATGCCTGTGTCTCTGGGAGTCATGCCTGTAACTGTCAGTCTTGCAATGCCTCATGGGACTTGTAGTTCCACAACAGTTGGTGGACCGGAGCTTGCCTACCCCTGTCATAGATGGTGCATAATGTGTCATCTGATATAAGGTTTTAAACCATGTGTAGGCAACCTGGGAACGCCAACTGTTGTGGAACTACAAGTCCCATAAGGCACTGCAAGACTCTGACAACCTCAGGCATGATTCTCAGAGGCAGGGGCATGAAGACACTTGTAGTTCCACAACAGCCGGAGGGCCAGAGCTGCCCAACCCTGTCATAGATGGTGCATAATGTTTAATCTCTAATTAGGTTTTAGCTGTTGCTAAATGCCGAGGTTGCCTACCCCTGCTCTAAAACTACAAGTCCCAGGAGTCATTGCAAATCTCTGACAGCCACAGGCATGACCACCAGAGACATAGGCATGATGGAATTTGTAGTTTCACCCCAGCTGGAGTGCCGACGTTGCCTACCCCTGATTTAAAGTAACATTTATGACATTAGGGATAGATTGGATAACGTTTGGTAACCCCTGTTATATCCTTATTGGCCCCATACCTTGTCAGCGGTCCAGAAAGTCACGGGAAACTTCTCAGCAAGAAAAACTCGCTCAAGAAAAAAACAAATTAGCACCAATTATGAAGCCAAATACCTGTAGCCTGTGATTGGGTGCCTGCTTCCATTTGAGTCTTTTCACACAGTTTGCATAAGCCCTGAAATACACAAGGAGCAGAAATATTTTAATACCCGGATTATTGGGATAAAGTATTGCACAGCCCCCCTGGAAACGGTAAAAAAAATCCTCCAATTAACCTGTTTACCTCCAACCCCATCAGGAAAGGATTGAACCTGGGCAGCACTAGCAGATCAATGTCGCTGTCTGCAATACAAGGCTGACCTCCCCAGGGACTCAGGGGGGGTTAATGAGTTAGACAGCTGCACTGTAGCTGTGTTGTAATCCCAGTGCCCAGGAGGGCCAGAGAGAGAGAGAAGTGAGCAGCTGTGCCTTTAAATGCCATTTCCTTCTATTGTATTTGAATGGTGATCAGGAAAAAGGAAATGAAAGCAGAGGGGCCGAGCTAAAGGAGTCAATGCTGCAAAAAAAAAAAGAAGACAGCGGTTGCCTATATAAGTGACAGTAACACAGGCTTCTCTCTCAGACCTTCCTTCTTGGCCAGCAGGGCTCAGACAGCTGCCGGGAATACAGATGTGGCGGCACGGCGATGGAGAGCGGGCATCTGTTGGCATCTGACGCCGGACTCTGGGGTGAGGGGGGCCAGATCTGCTACTGACGGATTGCGGTGCATGGACCCGTGTGCCTGTACAAATTAGGACAGGACCTACGGAGCCAAGACATCACACTGTACAGAGGACAATACACAGCAGCAAGCAAATGTCAGCACCCATCGAGAGGAAGAGCCTGGACCCTGCAGAGTAAGCATGGCTGGGGGCTCTTTATTGTTGCAGTACTTGGTGGGTGGGTGGGGGGTATTGAAAAAAGGGGGTGATCATTGACCATTTGGGCAAGACGATGAAGGACCCCGGGGGGTATTATATTGAAATAGGTAAGAGCTGATGGTACAGAAAGGGCACAGATTTTGGCACCTATGCCATCTGTCCTCCTGGATCACATCTGGATTCTAGAGAGGTGCAGCTGGAATTTCTTGCTCCTTGAAATGCCCTGAGATGGAACGTTAATCAGTTTTATTATAAGATACATTTTCTATCCCCAGGTCTTTTCTATTATCTCACCTTATTTTAAGAGAAGCCTTTCAAATGCCAATAGATGTATTTGTGTCGCCCATAAGCCCTCATGGGAATTAAAGTGCAGCACAGTCCTGGTGGTCCTGGCAATTCTTTTAAACACGGGCTTGGAAATCATTTTAAATGTTGCTGTTTCAATGGTGGTAACTGTGTGACGACAATGAAAGCGGTGGATGGTGGGAATCTAATTCTGACGAAATGCTGTAGCCGGCAGGGCATGCTGGGAGATGTAGTTCCTCAGCAGAGGGCTCCGGTTGCTAATGTCATATTTACTGTTCTGGTGTACAACATTGTCACGGGAGAGATATGTAGGCTGCTGTCTTTGTGTATCGTGTGCCGGAAAAAAAACCCAAACAAACTTCTTTAAATTACATCTTCCGGCACCAGATGGGCCCTCGGCTCTGCTAGGTAACACATATGCCAAAGAGGTTCCCACCGCACTCCTTACTGGTACGTCACTTTTTAATGTCCTGAGAAGACACAGTGATCTGCCACAAGTGGGACAGATGAGGCTAGGTGGCTTTACATCTGCATTTTTAGTGTTTTTGATGGAGGTTGGTGCGTGTTTTAATGCGCATTTTTTTTGATCGGTCAATAAAATTAGAGGTTGCTCAGGGAGTGAGCTATGACTAAGACCGAATAAGGCAGAAACGCGTCAGCGGTTGTTTTTTTCTATAGATGCAGGTGGAATAAAGTTTGATTTTCTTTGGAAGATCATCGAGTGCTGGTTCTACAGTTTTTGCTCAGAGGGTGGGGGTTTGTTGTCAAGCACTCAAATGCATAAAAATACATGTTACATGCTGTTTTCCTGTGCTTCCATTGAAGTCTATCAGGGCTATTCACAGAAGGGTGAAGAGTTTGGAGAAGACAGGAGAAGTGAACAATCTAGGATAACATCGCTGATTTGGAAAAATTCTCCAATTCAGCTCACTTTCCAGTTCAGCTATGTTGTCCTAGATTGTTCACTTCTCCGGCCTCCTCCAAACTCTTCACCCTTCTGTGAATAGCCGTGTATGTGCCCAAAAACATGCATGGATGCACCAAAAAAAAAAACCCCTGTACCATTGTTCCTAACACAGCAGGGCAGTGCACAGGTGTGAACGGGGTCTAACTGAGCTCATTTCACCTTAATAAGAGGCAATTGGAGATATTACCACCTTCTATAAATACATTAGTGGTCCAAATAATAAAACTCACTGGAAAGTTGTTCAAAACCTTTTACAGTAACCACAAACAATATGGGGGCACGCTTTGTGACTAGAGGAAAAGAGATTTAACCTGCACATAAGGAAAGGGATCTTTGCTGTAAGAGCTGCGATGTTCAATAATCTTCCACATGAGCTGGTTCAGTAAATGGCTTACAGTGACACTAAACTCAGGAGTTCAATCTTAAAATGCATTCAAGTACCTGAACTATGAACAAAAATGTATCTTATGTGTGTATCACTCGGCTGTAGATCCTCCAATCATCTCTGAATTGGTGCTGACACCGTCCTTCCTGCTGGAGGGTGGCTACTATTGTTCCCCATGGGCCCTATGTGTTGTAAAGTAGTCACCGCTCCAAGCTCACTCCCGTGATGGACTACAATCTCATGTTTAGTTTACTAACTTGTAAAGGTACCTGAAGGTGTTTTTAAGGTTTAGCTCCTGAGTTTAGTGTCACTTTAAATAAAGGGCCATGTGTGCATAAAATATAAATGGCTGCTAATATGTGTAAGAAATGACATTGTATACTGTTGATCCAAGGGCTATGCAGTTGCTGATGGGGATCAGAAATACATTTTTTTTTAACCAAACTGGGCCACAATGTAGAATATATATTGAGTTTTTCTTTCGATCAACTCTGGGTTTAGAATTAATTTGTTTGTGCTGAACTCAATGGAACTGTGTCTTTTTCAACCTACCTTTGTAACTGTGGGGTCACCAGAGGCCTCTCTGATCTGCAAGAAATTAAGTAAATACAGAAAATGAGACATTTAATAAGCAGCGTACACCACAGATCACACAGTGCCAGGCACTCTCTGTCCTCCATACTATAGAACAGTGTTTCTCAACTTTTTTCTTTTTTAGTCACAGCACCCTTTAAAAGTATGCAAAATCTCAAAGCACCCTACTCTTAAATGTCATAGATTTTATGGGGGACCCCACCCAAAAACATGCAAAAAGTGGGTTTCCCCTTTAACATCGAAGTGCACCCTTCAAATCAAGATTCCCCCCTTCAAATCAGAGCCGCTCTTCACATCAGAAGCCCCTCTTTCATCACAGAGTTCCCCCCTTTTACATGAGAGTCACCCCTTTACAACAGGATCCCCCTTCACCTCAGTCTTCATTCCCCCCTTCACTTTACAGTCCTACTACCACAATATTTTGAGGCACCCCTGAGGATGCCAGGAGGCACACCATGGTGCCATGGCACCCTGGTTGAGAAAGACTGCTATATGGAATAGGTACCTGCTTGAAGAGAGGCAATACTAATGAATTACTGCCCTACACTCTATGTTCATCTTAAAGGAGAACTATGGGGTTAAGGCTTTCCACCATAGTTCTCCTTAGGGTAACTGGAGGACACAAACTAGCTGGAGGCAGAGCCAGCTGTACCCGCCCCCTCCCCCGTCCGTTCCGCCAGTCCACGCTGGCGGATCGGAGCGGGGAGTGGGGAATCCAGCCCTCCCCCTGTCACGGCAGAGAGCCGTGACAGGATCGAGAGGTGAGCGAACGCCGGTATGTGTTCGCTCACCTCCCGATCTACTGAGCCGACCTGTGACAGTCTCATTGTCACAGGTCGGCTAGAACTATGAGGTGAGTGAAAAGCACCCCCCTCATAGTTCTCCTTTAACAACGGACAGCATGACAGAGAAAACCATCACTTCTATAGGGATGAACCATTCAATTTGCATGCTTTGTGAGTTGAAAACCTTTTTGAATTTGCCTGTATGTTTCCATGCAAATAATTCTGATGTGGAGAGTCCTGCAATTTAGGATTCAGACAACTGTGATGGCAATGGTTAGAGAAGTCTGCATGAATATATTTAAGCAAACCGTAAAAGTTTGCGATTTGCTAGCATGTGAATTGAGTTTCTCATCCCTACGTCTCTGTGAGCCAGTTCTTTGCCCTGGGCATCAAGGAGCCCCTGGCAGATATCATGAATGCATGCCAAATGCCCGTTTTCAAGCCTGTGGGCATGTGGCATGGCATGTAACCTAAAAAAGCTGTGTATCATAGAGGAATGCTAACAGAAACTAGGACTGAATGCGCAGAAAAACAATAGTTCCCCTTCATCATATTTATTTTATGACTAAAGCTTGTTTTCTACAACTTTTTGCATTATTTAAATTTTGAATGATGTAACTTTATTTTCTTCCCATAGTGAGCCAGTGGACGAGGTTCTGCAGATACCACCCTCACTTCTAACATGTGGGGGGTGCCAACAAAACATCGGGGATCGCTACTTCTTAAAGGCCATAGATCAATACTGGCACGAGGACTGCCTGAGCTGCGACTTATGCGGCTGCCGCTTGGGAGAGGTCGGGAGGAGGCTCTACTACAAACTGGGGCGCAAGCTGTGCCGAAGAGATTACCTTAGGTAAGGCCATCATTTTTACAGAGGCAGGAGGAGAGGAACTAATATGAACTGGTAATGTGTTTACCTTGTAGTGACTGCACTATAAGTACATTGACACATACACCTCTAGTCTTTACATGTTGTAGAAATAGTCTTGTGGTCCTAAATATAGAATGCACAAAAAGGAATGGACATGCAGTAGATCTTGCATCCTGGACTGAACAGATGTTACATTACATGTATGGTCTCTTGATGTACAGGTATACAGGTATGCGTAATAATCAGGATGGGCTGAAGAACGCTACCCAAAGTAATAAGAAAATATTACCACAATTTGTTTGCTAAAGCAGTGTTTTTAAAGCCAACATGTGCTTCAGGTTGGCTTAAGTAGACATCTACCTTTTAGGATGTGACAGTGTCAACTGACAGCTCCCCCCACCCCCCAAAATCCTTTCCCAGCTATCCAGCCATATATACTAAACAATCCATGCTACTTCATTGCCTGCAGGAATCCACTTTGGGTAAGCCCCAGTGTCGAATGGTGCCAGAGATTATCTTGTTGAATTACGTCATGGCCCCCCCACCCCCATGTGACAGCACTCCAGCCTGGTGATTGGATGCTCAGGCCCAAACACTGTCACATGGGGGAGGTCACATACTCCCCCATACCAAAAAGCCCTGCTCCATTACAGCGACAGAGGTCTAATATAGTGGGGAGGTGGTCGGAGAGCAGGGATACATACAGTAAGTATACAGTGACAGCGTCTCTTTAACTACTGTACTGTATGTAGACTCCTCCTGTTGATAAATATTGAAAGGGGACCATTGCAGCATTAAATTTCCGCTCTTCTCCTATGTGACAGCACTGGTGCTTAGAGATTGGCACAGCATTGTCACATGGGGAGACAGTCCTCAGGCCTGTGTAAGCTCTGGTTAGAGTGACTTACACAAGTCTTCATTTCCTAACTCCCAGCAGCTAAATGTAGTGGCAAGCGAGTAGAGGAAAGCTGAGTATGTGTTGCTGGAAGGGGTGGGTGATTAAGGTAAACCTGTTACTTTGCCCTAGTTCAAAGGTGTATACAGTATAGCCAGGTACAAAAAGCCACCTCCCCGCAGTAAATGTGGTCATCAACATATTTACACTTTGAAAAGTCCATCTATATTTTGCAAAAATACTGATTGGTCTCGTTCACACCTAGGCGTATTGCATATGCGCGTCTGTCGCGCGACCGTCGCACATTTTTTTTAGCGCGAAGTCGCGCGACCGTCGCGCGTTTCCGAAGGCTACTTGGCTGTATCCCAATGGAAGCGCGCAACAAAACGGCCCAAAGTAGTACCTGTACCTTTTCAGGCGGAGGCCGTTTTGTAGCGCGTTAGGGACGGGCGGAAATACGCCAAGGTGGGAACGAGACCATTGAATACAATGGGATTTATATTTTTGAGCGTTTTGTAGAGCGTTCGTCGAGCGTAGAACGCGCTACAAAACGTTCAGGTGTGAACGAGGGCTTAGGGGTATAGTAAGATACAGACTGCAAAGAGAAGGCCTACTCAACACCGAACGATCCTTTACAAAGCAAAATTGAAAACTTCCATCAAGTGACAGATAAATTCTATAACTCGGGTAGGCAAGATGTTGGTCCCTGAAGTGTAATGTGTTGTGCTCAATAGAATCATATGTGTGAGCCTGCTGGACCCCAGATTGGCTAGACTGTCTGTTCAATTCTTCAATATTTGTCTGTCCTTGCCTTCATCTGTACTTACATGTCTGTCAAAAGAATCCTGTCATGGAGACTGCCCTTGCTGAGCTTTCCTTCTGAAAATTCTAGCTGCCTGGTTACCATGCTGACCCCCAGGCCCGGTGCAGACCTGAGCGATCCACGATCACGCATCCCGCGATCGCTTGGTCCTGCACAATGCAGACAGCGATTGCCACGCGACCGTGACATCCGCGCGGCAATCGCAGAAAAAAAGTACATGTACCTTTTTTTTGTGATACACGACGCACAACTGTTTTAGCTGTGATCGTGTTAGGATGCACAGGCGGAATCGCGGCAATCCGCCCGGCGCGACTGGGGTGCCATTAGAAAACAATGGCACCCACAGCGCGACCGTCTGTGCTGGGCGACTCCGTGACTGCGCGGCAATCTGCGCACGATTGCCGTGCCGTGAGGTGTCGTCTAGATATGCGAGGCACGTAAGGACCTCTGACTTTCCTAATCTTCATGCTTGCTTCTGATTACGGACTCGGCAGTATAATATGTTTGTATTTCTCCAATGACGGGTTCACATTCCGCAGCCTAAAATATGTTTTCTGGTTTCTGTTGCAGACTTTTCGGTCAGGATGGGCTTTGTGCCTCCTGCGACAAGCGGATCAGGGCCTACGAGATGACCATGCGGGTGAAGGACAAAGTCTATCACCTGGAGTGCTTCAAGTGTGCGGCGTGTCAGAAACACTTCTGTGTGGGTGACCGGTACCTCCTTATAAACTCAGACATTGTCTGTGAGCAGGACATCTATGAATGGACCAAACTTAATGGAATGATGTAGCTAGGGGACAATGCCCCAGGAGTTTCCTGGAATGGATTGTGAAGTATCAAGCAATGAACTTACACTGTGGCAATAACGACTGACAGTGCGTTATCTTTTTAAAAGAATTAGTAACAGGCTGGGCGTCCACACTGGTATCAGCTAGCAGACGCGTCCGATGGTTCTAATGCTACTATCCACCATCGTTTACTACCAATAATGGTGCTTTTGGATTTATACAATTATTACTGACGGGAGTACTGGGCCTTTCTGAAGCCTGACATGATGCCAGCATATGAAGTTCTAAATTTGGGACCCTGGATCCTCGCTGAAGTCTCAAAGTCCGCACTCTAATTTACTCCCTATTTGGACCAAACTGCTGCCATTTTGGAAAGTCCCCCTCCTTCCTGGGCCGAAACCAAGACTGGCTTGCAAAGCTCGGGTCAGCTGAATGCCTGCTGACTTAAAAAGCCAGCATACAGATCAAGTTTTATGGCTATATTTTAAGACTTTTTGTCTTCCCAAAAATAATATTTAAATGGAACCTGTCAAGTTAGAAATATTGAAGTTAACACTACTTTTTTTTTTTTTTTAAGGTACAAGCTGTTGGTTTATCATTCTGATCCTTACTTCACTGCCTGGTGATCACTGCAAGTATGCGGGCAGTGGCGTCGGGACCTGCAGACTTCCAGGTCTACAATGCACTGCGGTGCTGAAGCAAGGATGAGTTTGTCAGCTCCATCAAACAACAAGCCAGGAATAGCAGCTTCCATATTTCCACTCTTACAGGTTTAGATTTGGGTGGACTGTTGAATCACACACTGCCTACTTACATCTCTGCAAGGAAGATCCCAACACCTGAGTTCCCAAGACAGCCCACCATGCCTGGCCATTATAGTAGGAAGTTACTATTGCTGGATTTATGTCATGGAGAATGCAGTAAGAGGAAAGAAACTATTCGAGATCTCGCTATAAGAGACGCCAAGAGATGTAGCTGAGAAAATCTGAGATTGATGCGCCACGCAGAAAATGATTTGTCCAGATACAAATTTATTCCAAGTTGAAGTGAAAGACTTAAAGCCCGTGGCACACTGCACACAAAGCCGTGCAGAGCGAAGCAAAGCTGTCAGGCACGGAGCTTCGCATGCAGTGTGTGAGCTGAGTGCAGGCAGATGAATGACAGCACCTTCAGCCAATCGGCTCAGGCGTAACAACCGGCTGGACTGCGCGGGTTTATACGCGCGAGCTGATTGACTGAAGATGACATTTTTCATCTCAGCACGCTCAGCTATGCGAGCTCTCGCAAGCTGATGTGCCAGAGAGAAAGTTTACATGACACACTGCTCGCAAAGGCAGCACGCCACTGCTCCGCTTCACGTGCAGTGTGTCACAAACTTTATTACTAAACCAATGAGTTTCGGGGGTCAAAGGGAGTCCCCTTTATAAGGGCTTGCAGGGAGGTAGTAACTACTGGACTGAATTTATTCCAAGTTGAAGTGAAAGACTCTATTACGAAGCCAATGAGTTTGGGGGGTCAGAGGGAGTCCCCTTTATCAGGGCTTGAAGGGAGGTAGTAACTACTGGACTGAATTTATTCCAAGTTGAAGAAAAAAACTTTATTACAAAGCCAATGAGTTTCGGGGGTCAGAGGAAGCCCCCTTTATCAGGACATAAGGTGAGGTAGTCATTGATGCTTGTCAGTGTTTCTTACTCATCTTCTCTAAACGACTGTACAGCGCTGCAGAATATGTTGGCGCTATATAAATAAATAATTGTAATTGTAGGTAGTAACTACTGGACTTAAAGTAAAAATGAATACACACTGTGCAGTTTGTTTTACCGGAAGCTGAGGCTGCTTAATCCAGGTGTTGACAGACTCTGGGGGGGAATTTATCAAAACTGAAGCAGAAAAATCTGGAGCAGCTGTGCATGGCAACCAATCAGCTTCTCTCTTCAGTCTGTTCAGTTAAGAATTTAAAAATGAAAGAGAAAAGCTGATTGGTTGCCATTCACAGCTGCTACAGATTTTGTCTGCTCCAGTTTTGATAAATTCCCCTCTCTGTGTTCTAACGAATTAACAACCTCGTCATAAAAAGCACAGTGAGTATGCATGACTTACAGTCCAGTGGTTGCTACCTCTCTTCAAGCCCCGATGAAGGGAGCTCCCTCAGACCCCCGAAACATGTTGGCATTCTGATGAAGTCCTTTACTTCAACTTAGAATAAATCTGAAGGAATGATTTTCGGTGTGCTTCAATCTCAGATTATCTCAGTTACAAACAATGGAGACAGTGGAAATCCTTTTGTGTGGAGAAGCCGTCAACCCCAAGCATACAGAAATCTGGTCAGTTACTTACATCCCCTCCATAACAATAGGATAACTGTAAGATCCCATTGCTACCCCATCAAAAAATAATTTTCAGGGCTGGCGCAGACCTGGCCGATGCAGGACGTGCGTCCCGGGACCGTGCGATCGCGTGCAGTTGCATACAGCGGTTGCCGCATGACCCCATTGATTTCAATGGGGTTATATCCGCGCGGCAATCCCAGAAAAAAGGTACATGTACCTTTTTTTGCGACACATGACGCGCGGCTGTTTTAGCATGGGTGGAATCGCAGTGGAAAACCGTGCAATCCACCCGGCGCGACTGGGATGCCATTAGATCAGCGGAAGTGGGCGATTTTGTGACCGCACAGCAATCCGCACGATTGCCACGCGGTCACGGATCGCGCAGGTGTAAACTTGGCCTCATCTTCCATATCTAAGAGATGTAAGGTGGTGTTGGTGGTGGCTCACAACAGCAGCGCCCACCCAAAACAAAATAACAATTTTGTCTTTTTCAATCTTTGGATAAATGACACACTGCAATGCTGCAACAAGCGGATACATATACTGTATGTGTATATATCATTGGCTATTGCCGGATAATCTATGCAATACTGGCAAGTTTTATTTTGTAGTTTACATTTTTACTAAAAAAAAAAAAAGGCTAATAAAATGTAAATATAACTGACACCGTTCTGCTTGTGAAGGAGCGATTTACAGAGCGTGCCCTATAATGCCAAGGGTTGAAACTATAACCAAATACATTTATTGGAAAGATTGTGTGAAATAAAAAGCTGATTTGTTGTCACTTTTAATACTTGAATGTAAAGTTCGGCATTGTTTGGCCGCGGTTTTTGTACAAAAATGTCAGGAGAAGCCTCCAGTACTGTGCCAGGTAACAGCCATCCAGCTGACAGGGTCCCTGTGAATTGCTAATACCCGGTTTCCCTAAAAATAAAACCTACCCCGAAATTAAGACCTAGTACTATTTATGGGAATTGCTAAAATATAAGACCTACCCCGAAAATAAGACCTAGTCGTGACCATTACTAGGGCTGGTGGTGGCATAAGGGGGAACTTGAAGAGCCGCGGGAGAGAATCAGCGGTGCCAACGAAGCCAGCACTAGAAGAAGCGAGGCGCCACCGGAGGGAGAAGAGCCGCATAAGCCGATGCATCCTCTATAGCGCCGACTCCTGTCGCAGGCGGAGTGATACCAAATGCACTCCGCCTGTGAGGAATCTATTGTGAAAGTGCGTTTCGCTCATTCTGGCCAGCAATTGGTTATCATATTGCTCTTGAAAAGGTACGGCACCCCTGATTGACCTGATCACCATATTTTTGTACATAAATACATGTAGACTTTCCTACATGAATAAGTGTGGATTGTTGTACATAAAAAAAATAAGACAGTGTCTTATTTTCGGGGAAACACGGTATATCCTTTACGTGATGATACATTGCTGATAGCGCTGCACTTATCTAATACATAAAGATCATACAAAGGCAGCTCTGTTCTGTAAAGGTTGTAATAGAGGTACTTCACCCGCCTTAAAAAGCTTTTCCAGACATGACCTCCAAGGAAATGTCCGGCAGCACTTCTCGCTAAGATGCAACAAGGGGAGTGCAAGATCTAAACATGCGGACAGTAAATGACCTGGGCTTGTTTCTGAGGAATTCTGAAGTGATTGCACCGATGTATAGGAATCGAGCATGGCAGCCGGCTACAAAACAGCAGACTGATCCTTCAGACACTCAGTTACAACGTGAATAGCTGCGGACATTGACAGAGGTGGGATTTGCAGACAGTGAACTGACAGAAAACAAATGGCCGCCTTGTAAAGGAAGCCTATCAATACTCAGCTTTTGGGCGCATGGCATTAAACAATGCTGCTTCATTCCTCTCTGGTACTTGCAGGTATATTGCCCTTCCAGGTGCATCAAATACCTGTTCTCCCCATTGTACACAGTGGTTCCTCCTGCCAGACTGTTCATTCTGTAGTAATGTACAAGCTGGCGGGAGATACCACTGCATACAGC